AACCGGACCGGAGAACTTACCGGTTCCTGGTTAAACCGACCGATCCGGTCCAATTTTCAAAACATTGCTATTAACCCACCCTCCATACAAGTTATTTAACATTTAGCTAGATAACCCTCAACACCTTCACAATTACCAAACTCTTATATCATTTGAATAATGCCATTAATTAGCCCTAGATTTAGCATCTTTAGGCTATTAATACTACCTTTTTGTGCATCGTTTCTCGAAACGGACCAGGCATAGGTGAGGGAAAATGGCCACGGAGAGGAGATTTTACTACAGTTAGGGTCTGGGGAGTGGTGCTGTTGGTGGTTTTGATGTTTGGACAAGATGTAACTGCTCAATAAGGAATTTAGGCTTGTTGGGGAGGTTGCTATAATCTGGTCATTCTCCAAGCTGGAAAAAACCCACAAGAGAGATTTGCTTGCTTTTGGAATTGCTTGGCAGGCTGGTTTGGTGGGTTTGATGTTAGTTACTATTTTAGTGGAATAAGTTTGTTAGATAGTTAACACCTGAGGTGAGTTTGATGTTAGTACTATTGTAGTGAAATAATTCTATTAGATAGTTAACACGTAATTGACACGTAAGATAATTGTGTCACATGTCAGTAATCTAACAGTCCTGTTTTACTGAGACAATACCTAATATCAAATTCACCATCTAATTATTAACAATACTATTGTCAATTATGTTATTCTCTTGTATGGTGCATTCTCCTAAACTCTGGTATATGTACGTGTTATTGTGCATCCTCCTAAACTCTGGTATATGTATATGTTGTCTTCATCTTCCCCATTTCTCTCTTTACAAATGCATACATGTAGACACATGTATGTGTATGTATATCTATAACTTAACATTTTCACAATATTTTAGAATTCTTTGATAAACTAAAAGTTTAAAAAGTTAAATGAAACAAAAGTTAGAACTTCCATGATTTTTTTTTTTGGCTCAATATATGTGTATATCTATATCTTAATTTAAGAAAATTTTATACTATTTGATTCCCAAAATCCACTTCTTGGGTTAGGGCTTTTGCAAAAGTCTATCAGGATTTTGAGTTTTTTAGCATGTGAGAAATTTTATCTTAAATAGAATAACTAAAAAAGAACTTGATAGAAATACTTAAAAACTAACTCTTTGTAGTTATACAAATTTCCATCACAAGAGTCCTCTATGTATCAAGCTTGTCCAAATAATAAAGATCTTAAGTATTAAATTCTTGAGTTGGATTGAATTCCCTTTCCCAACTTCTGATTTAATAGAAACACAGGGACAAACACACAAAATCAAATGTGAAACCCAAAGTTCTTTTAGATTGAAATTGGGGCTTGTCTCATAATTTTTATAAGAATGCTTTAATTTTTACGATTAGCAAAGAAAATTACAAATATACAATGAGTAACAAATATTAGAGCTATGATGGCCGTCTAGGAGGCTTAAACTTCCGATTAAATGGAAAAAAAAAAAACCATAAAATACTTACATTTTTGTAGTTTCAAAGCGATTAGGATGTTTTGTAATGAATCTCAACCATTTATGGAAGAAAGTCAATGGTCAAATTTTGAATGAAAGCTTACATCATCTTGTCTTAAATAATCTTGTTATCATTTATTTAAGGCCTTGAATTGAATGGCCTGAAAACTGTGTGACTTCTTGGTGGTGGATGGGATGGTGATAACAAGGCAGGTATTTGACTTCTTCCTCTCCTGCTTGAGTAAATAAGTGGCTCATCCCCACTCCAACCGGTAAAAGATAAAATGTTAATAATTAATTATTGCAATATTAATCATATAATTTTAATGAATTTTTGTAAGGGCTGCTCTTATTATTAGGCTTTTGTCTCGTAAGATATATAATAAGGGTGGATAAAAAATTAAAGAGGTGGGTTTTTTTAGAAAATCATATTACTAAGAGTTTTCCAATGAAACAAGTAATCTGGTATTGATAATTTTTATCAATGTTTTAAAACTTGGACCTGGTCATATTATTTTGACCGTGACTCAGTCAACAAACAATCTAAATGAGATTATCTAACCAGAATTAAAATTTAATCAATCAAAAACCAGTCAAAAACTGGTAACTTGTTAGTTAAAACTATTTTAAGATAACATATTTATTAATTTTATTTAAAACTTGTATTTTAAATTTGTATAATTTAAGTTTTATCATATTCATCGTAAAATAGATAATATTTCATTTTATTAATTAAATGTTTGTTTATAAACAAATTTGATCAACGAGTGAACTATAACTCGATGACTTTACTGACTTGATCACCTATCTAAATTTATACCCATTGATTTTTATCTTCCTTCTTAAGAAAAAATAAGTCTTTATTTATTTATTTCTTGTTTTTAAATGAGAAAGAGGTGAGAGAGTGCTTGGAGACCTGCTCCAACGAAATCTGCAAAATCACGGCATAGAAATCATTCTACAGCCTGCTTATGTCCCTTCAGCAAGCATTGCCATATGTCCCACTTACTTTGCTCCCAAAAATGGCCGATACATGCTTTAGAAAAACATAAGTCTGTACAACACCTCTACTTAATGGTACAGCCATGTTAATTAGTTTAATTACTTGTATTGTTCTTCTTTTAATCCCAAACAACAACAAACTAAATGGTTTCTGCATAGATTACTCAATCTGGGTGCTCAGCCAGTGGGCCTAGCCCAACCACCACTCTTTCATTATTCAAAGATAATACTCTAAATATTACTCATGGCCCTCTAAATTTATTTAATTAATATTAAATTTTATTTTTATTTTAAAAAATATTTCTCTTTTTTAACTCAAATTAATTAATGATTTTCATCTACTTGTCTATATATAATATAAATTTAAAATATTAAAATTAATTTTTTTATTATAATATTATTAAAAAATTTGTAAAAATAAAATAAATTTTTATTATACAAAATTTAATTATTTATTATAGTAAAAAAATATTAACAAGTGGATTCATTTATTAAAAATGTTAATTTTTAAATTTTTAAATTTTACGTTACTTGATTTAAGATTTTACCATTTTATTAAAAAAAGGTTTTAGATTTTTTTAAAAAATCAAAAATAGTATAATTAGATCTATAAAAGTTAGATTCTTAAATTTTTCTTAGATTTTTAATTTAAGATGGGCAACTTAAGCAAGTGAAATTGGATTAACCTTACTTCTTCTTTAATACAACTTTTAAGTTTTTTATTTCTTATAATTTTAAATTCATTTTTTAGAGATACCCAACAAAAAGATTTAAATAATTTTTTAATAAAATAGTAAAATCAATTTCTTCAGAAGTCAAATTTTTTTATTTTTAAATTTTCACATTAAATCAAATAATGTAAAAATTGAAGAGTTAGATTTTGTTTTAAAAAAATAACTTTTTTTTTTATCAAACGAAGCAACTTGTTGATTTTTTTTACAATAATAAATAATTTAATTTTATATGATAAGAAATTTGTTTAATTTTTATAAGATATGTTCATATAAATATATATATAAAATAATTTTAAAATTTTAAATTAATATTATCTAATAGCAAATAATAAAAATTGTTAGTCAACTTAAATTAAAGAAAATGAATATTTTGTTATAGTAAAAATATGATTTAGTATCAGTTAAGTAAATTTTAAGGGAGATTTTAAGTTTTTTTTACCTAAGATAATATTACAAATATATTTTTAGTTTTTCTTATTTAATATTGCAATGAGATCAGTACAATTGGGATGGACTACAAGTAATTAATAAAATTTAATTACAGTGAATCTCATTATCTATACAAAATACTAAGTAATTGATAAATTTAATTGACAAGTGACAACTATTTGATTGACAAATAATAATTGAATTATGTGCATCTGTGTGTACGTGAGTTTAGTTGACCTTGAGTACACATTTACTGGGGTAACGCACCTAAAAGCCATTAGATCCGAACACACCCCCTGCAGACCATGCAGGGGGCTAGGATTCAATGGCTCTTAAGTGTGCACTCAAAGCCAATTGCACCATGTATGTGTGTCTGTGTATGTGTCTATATATATATATATATATATTAATTATTAAAAAAATACTCCCAAATTACTAGTAAGGTTGATCTTAGGTGCACATTTAAAAAAAGATAGTGCACCTAAGAAACACTGAATCTAAGACCTCTACATTTTTTACAAGGAGAGTGCTCGAATTCGGTGACTCTTGAGTGTACACACAGGATCAACTAAGCCCAGATTACCTTGACTCAACCTACGATGAACTGATTTATTAGATAGGACGGGACTAGCGCGGTGTCATTCCTACCTTAGATGGTCATCACTCTGTCGTACAGGCAAAAAAGTGCAAATGATAATTAATTCATTTTAGTCCCTGTACTTGACACAAGTGTGCAGCAATGTCGATCTTGTATTTTTCTTTTTTTTGCAATTGAGTCCAAAAATATTATTAATAATTTACATTAGTCCATTTGTTAGGATAATAATAAAGGGACAACCCATCAACTAACTCTTGCCCGAGCTAATAGAAAGTTAGGTTCATGGATAAAACAAATCATAACTTTTTTAAAAAATAAGAATAAAAATATTATTTTTGAAAATAAAAAATAAATAAATTTTATTGAGATACGAAGCACCACCCCCTAACAGCATCATCTATTTATCTACCATTTTATTCACTACTCAAAATAATTCCCTAAAACAGTTCAAACAAATTCTTTTTCACAATTTCCCACCTAATCTCTCATCTCTTCTCTCCTACACTCCAGATTGAGATCAGTTTGCATGTAAGTCCTCAATTGCTTTTCTGTTGCACACTGATTCCTTCTGCCCCACGACACTGTGTACTTCCTCTTCCTGCCTCAAGCCTTGGGTGCGTGTCTTTCAATTTGCGAGGAGTAAGGGTGATAATTTGGAAAAGAACCTAAATTTATTAAGAAAAATTTGATTTAATTGAGACAAATTTGGTTCACAAAAGTTTTTATGATTAGTTTCTTTTACTGGTCCTAGTTGCTCATTACAAACTTGATGGTGGTGGTGGTGGTGGAGATGCATCTGGAACCGCAGCTACTGGTGGCGGCTGATGTGGCTCGCACGGCGGGGGTGATGGTGGCGTAGATGGTTGTGCACATGGTGGTGGTGGAGGCGGTAGATTTGGGCACGGAGGAGGAGAATAAGTAGGCGGTGGCGATGACGATAGAGCGGGTGGAGGCGGTAATTGTGGCGGCGGCGGTGGCGGAGGAGGGGGTGGAATTGGTGGGGATGGCTGCAGAAGTGGAGGGGGAGGACATCTAAAAGCATTACAATCTATCTGCCGAGACAAGAACATCTTACACTGCAAAGAAGACCTCTGTGTGGGCCTCCCTTTCACACAATTCCTCCGATCGTCAAAACCGGGCGATTTTTCGCACTTTGATGAACATCCGGTGAAGTAATTATAATCAGAGGCGAAGCTAACCAGTCCCGGCAATGAGCAAAGGCCCGCCGAAATATTGCCTGTCAACTTGTTATTAGAAAGACCTAAATGCACCAGACTCTCCATCTCCGCCATGCTCTCTGGCAACGTTCCAGTTATCCGATTAAACCCCACGTCAAACACCGTTACGTTCTTCAACAATCCAATCTCACTCGGCAAACACGATCTAAACTCGTTGTTTTTGAGAATGATCTCGTTCAGTGTTCTCGACATGTTCCCCAAGCTCGCCGGAAAACACCCTCGGAAACCGTTGTTGGCGAGGACTAGGACCGACGCCGGCGAGCTCCCAATGTTCTCCGGCGAGATTGAGGAGAATCTATTGTTGTTGATGAAAATGGCGTCGAGATTTTTCTCAAAGAGTCGTTGGGGAATCTTGCCTTCAAAATCATTGAATCTGAGATCGAGGTACTTGAGATTGGGAATCCGGAGGACAACGCCAGGAAATTTTCCAGCAAATCTGTTGTTGCTGAGGTCGAGCTCGTAGAGTAACTTGAAGTTCATGAAACTTTGAGGGATTCGACCACAAAATCGATTAGAGTTCAGGTGAAACCAAGCAACATCGTATAGGAGGCCGAGTTCGTCTGGGAGTTCCCCGGCAATGTCGGCGTGGTTGAGCTCGACACCAGCGACGGTGAGCTCCGAGTGGCAGTCGGGGGAGGGGGCACAGACTATGCCAGTGTAGTTGCAGACGTCAGAGCCGCTCCAATTTTCAGTGACGTTTTTGGGTCGGAGAAAATGGATCGCCTCAAAGCCTAATCATTAGAGTTGGCGAAAGACTCGTTAGTAGAAACATACATACAAATTGGAGTCTACAAAATGATAAATAGGAATTTATTGAAATAGGTTATCCCGGAATTACTTAGTCTGGCGTTTGGGACAATCTGTAGCCTCGAGATTACCAAATTATCCCTCGTTTGTTGAAAGTAGGGATATAATAAGGATAAACTATTTAGTTTTCTGTGGGACCATTGAGATCCACTCCCCCCATGAAATTCATAATCATAAGAAATAAAATGCGACTAGTTGAAGAAGATCTAATTCCATAGTCTTAATTTAGCGTTAATCCGCACTATTGATCCAATCATTTCCAGTAATTATCTACAATGTAACTAAGAAGCATTTAGTTATTAATAATTTTGAGATTTTAAAATTTAACGACACCCAAAGTAATGAACTAAAAACACAAATTATCGCCTTTACCTGTAATGCAATGTAGGCATTTTCGAGCCGTGGATTGTGAAAGACGAGAGATGGTTCGACGACGAGAGAGTTGTCGGCGTCGAAGGAGGAGAGGAGGCGCCGGTTGTTGAGTTGGGTGGAGAAGCTGGAGGCCTTTTGTGCGGAAGAGGCATGGAGGAGGAGAATGGAGATGGTGGAGAAGATGTAGAAGTGAAGAGATTGCTGGATCTGTTTCTCCATTATACGATGTTGTTGAACATTTGAGATCTCTCCCTCACTATCTACCTGTGTTAATTGGAATACAAGTTATGTTAGATTAGAATTCAGATAAGGAATGACCTCTTGATTTTGTAGAGCCAAGAGTGTGCCTGTACAGCGAATGGAGAAGCAAAAGACAGATTCAGAAACTTATTTTTTCAGTGGGTATAATATATAATATATATATGTATGTATGTATATATTCCTTCAAACATTAAGCACATTTTGTATTAATATTATATTTTCACTAGCAAATCAATTTTTAAAAAAATTTATAAAAATAAATAGATTTCAATATTTATGGGCACAAGTCCTTAAAAAAAGTTTAAATTTTCAAACCTCTAATAAAAAATACAAAAAGAAATTCCATGGATTTTTAATAATTGAGAGTATGAAAAATTAAAAATAATAATTATAGAGTTTTGACTATTGGCCTTCTTCTTCCTAAAAAAGGTTAAAAAAGCTCATAAGTCAATTTTTTACCTTATTCAAAACCCAGTAAAAAAAATTTAAAATTTTTGTTAATACTAGAATAGTTATGATGTGTTAAGATAAAAACTATAGGGTAATCTTTTGTTTAGCTTATTGGAAGAATTAGTTTCCAACTTTTCCAACTTCTACCATCGACTTTGTACATGTTTTGTTGGGCCATGGAACTCACAACTTGTTTACCCCTTATACTATTTGATTATTTATTTATTTATATTCTTGAACATTTTAGTCAATTTTAATATTTAAACTTTCGTGAACTTGAACAAAAATTATTTATTTTCAGACAGCCTTTTCTCCTTTTAATTTGCAAATTGGGTCAAATTTCTTGCAACTCAGAATTATTTTTGAGATACAACTGTTTGCACTGTAATTAAATGGAGACAGTGTCTTATGGGAACAGTTACCGCTTTTTACTGTAACAGTTTTTTTATCTCAAATAGTTGAATTTTCAAGATTATTAACGTGTTATTAGATTATTTTTCAAGAGTAGGGTCCATAATTATAGCAAGAAATTTTTTAAGAAAGATTCCATAATTTTTTTAAAAAATATATAATATTAATATAATAAAATTATGGAGATAGATTATTAATTTTTTACCTATTTTCACTGACAAGTTATAATTTAACCCATTTTCCCTAAATTTATTTTTTCTAAACCCATTTTTCTTAAATCCACTTTTAACAAGACCTTAGAGTTTGAAATTATAAATGCAGCATATGTGAGACATTAGAAAAATTTAGAATAAAAAATAAAAATAAAAAATAATTTTGTGGAAAAAAATGAAAAAAAAAAGCCTGTCTTTGCAGATTTTTTTTTTACCCATTTTGACCAAAAGGAGACGTGAAATAAAGTTGTTAAACATTTAGGGGGCTAACTGAACATCTTTTAATTTCAAGAGGTGAAATGTTATATCTAAGTTCAGGAGGCGTTAGTGGATTCAAACCTAACGGAAAAATACCGCATCAGTCTGTCAGTCAAAATAATGAAAGGAGCATGTTGAATAAGATTTGTACAATTCAGGGCCATATTGAATTATTTTTTTTTTAAGTTTACAAGGTGAATTGAAAATTAACTTCAGGGGACAATAGTGGCTTTCTTCTTTGTGCTTATTCGAAGTTTGGGTGAGTCCTAAAAATGGTCCCCTGACTATTTGGAGATTCTTAAATTGGTCCCCTAACCATCAATTTAACCAATCAAGTCCTTCTAGTTGTCAAATTGTCCCAATGTCATTCCTAATCACATTCTTGAACAAAATCGAATCAAGATAAAGAAAGAAATGCCACCTCCACATTATGTGCATGATCTACAGCTTTTTATTCGCCAAACACCACCTTGCATCCATGTTCTTGAGCTCTCCAACTCTCCTAAGACTTCACATAATGGTTGCGTGGGGAAGGCAGAAAAGTTTGATTAGACATGTGATGATGTCGCTTCTTAATACTTTATTTTAATTCAATTTTGAGGAGGGGTAGGGGACGACATCATGGCAAATAGCAATTTGCCAATATGGGGAACTTGATTGGTTAAATTGATAGTTGGACGGCCAATTTGGGAATCCTAAAATAGTCAAGGACCATTTTTGAAATTCGTACTTGAAGTTTCCAAAATTCGATTCTTCCACGAACTTTCTAATTTTCCATCCTTATCCATTTGCTCCTATTTATTGTCACGTGAACCCACCGGCCATCACTAATTTCCACTTCCTACGTGATTGAAATTTCGGATTCAGACCGGATCAACCTCCGGCTCAAATATAGTATTTACGTGGCGCAATCATGGACATAGATATTTGTTTAATGTGATGTAAAGGCTAATCCATCCACGTCAGCTCCCAGCATTTCAGCTAGACATCGCAAACCGAGCGGAGGACGTTTGCACACGTGTCCGACGAAGGCGCGACGAGTAAGACGTGTCGTCTACCTACTCGCCTTCTGTCCGTTGGCTGCCGAACCTTTATGTAGCCCATGACTGTGTCCACCTCATCAGGGATCCGACCGACCATGTCTCGCGTAAAGAAAGAAAGCTTCCAAGGCTTAACCATATGACCGACCAAGGAAAGCATTTTGTATGGACGCGTGCACGCTAACTCTCGTGGTCTCCATGCACCATCAGATGGTTTTACCGGGCAGCTTTATTTTTTTCTCTTTTAAAAATTGGGATGGAAAATAAGTTATTGGAGTAAATAAAAAAATTAAAAATGGCTTAATTTTAAATTTTTAATCGGGCTAAATTAGAGAATAAAAAACTCACCTGAGCTGGTAAGCGGAAGATGATTGGAAGGTAAAATATTTTTAACAATTAAATAATTTAGTAGAGGAAAATAAAAGTCAAGGTAAAAAAAGTATATATAGTCAAGAAATTCAATTGCGAGTTCAGCATTTGGTCAGTGGTGGTCTCCGCAGGGTATTCCCGCCGTTCTTTATTCTACTGTGTGGGAGATATTTTTATGAGATTCAGGGCCATTTACGTAAATTCAGGACACGCTATCTGCCAGCCAAAGAATCGATGGCCGTTGTCGCGTTCAAAAGTGAGCTCCCGTTTTAGGAAGTCTCTGGAAAGCTGAGGTGTCCGCTATAAAAGCCTCCATTTGGATCCGCTCGACTCACAGCTTCTCTTACGCGGCTATAGTTGTTCTCTCTTTCTTACAAAAACCACCGGAGCATCCAAGACTCGGACCAGACGGTGCATTCGATTGGAGTTCCGTAGATCGGCAAGGAATAGAAAGTTCGTTATTTTGTAAATTTAGAAATCCTTCGGTTTTGCCCTGTTTTTTATCGTTAATTTGTCGTACTCTTGATCAATTCGCCGTGTTTGTTTGTAAATTTCGCTTGAATTGTAGGTACTGATCTTATCACAGTAATCGATATTTTACTTTTAGCATTATTTTTGTTGTGGTTCGCTTTGCTTGCTGAGAAAGCTCGGGAAAAAGAAAGCAGAAGGAAATTTCAGTTGTTGCTTCGAATTTTCCGTTCCTTTCTTTGTCTTTAGGTTTTTGGGTGACCAACTTGTTGTCGTGCTGCATTTGGAATACTTCTCTTTTTATTTATATCTAGATTTTATTCTCCTATAAGAAAATCGCTTCTATATTTAGGTTACAGATTCCTTTTCTATTCGATGTATGGTTTATATGAACTATATGAAATGGTTTTTATTTTGTATTCTTTTGCTGCATGAACTCAAAATGAATAATGTTAACTTGAGATGAGATTTGTCTTTCCTTTAATTTGGTGGACGCTGGGCATTGATTTCTGTGTTTTGTGTGTCACTTTGTTGCCATTTCTTTCTCGTCTCTTTTGATGTCCTCTAGCGTGAAATGTGGATTGAGTCTTTGTTAAATCAGAACGGGCTGACCTTTTTCTTTAGTCGATTGAGATATAGGTTAAATGTACAAAATAGGGGCCAACATCTTATTTGTTTGGCCATTTTTACCGACCTCATGACCTGTAGGATATTAGGTACTAAATACGTGGAGAAATAAAGGAAATTTTCAACTTTCAGTCATAGCATCGGCTGAATACGGGTGAATTAAAATTCCATTCTGAACGTGCCATTGATTGAGAACAAGAAAGTTAAACACTTTGGGGGAAAAAAAAAGGTGCACAAATTAAATGAGAAGTCATCAAGGTGGCTGATAGGAAGGCCTCCAGTAGGAAATTCTGACTTTATACTTACTGCCTTCCTGGGATTAAAGCTTTTCAACCTTTCTTGGTTCCTTGAGAAAAATCAAAAGGCTGGATGAGTTGATTATAACCAGTGGGTTAGGATAGAAAACTGATATTTTTTAAGTGAAATTTTGGATTATTTGTGTAGTAGTTGTCTTATTTAATTGAAATTGCATACTCCAATATGCCCGTATTTTAAGTTGAGGACAAATCTCATTCTTTTGTTGCATTATTTAGGCTTATGTTTGAGTTTAGCATTAGTTAGCCAATAGCTTTTCTACCTGTTCAACGTAGATTGAGATTAACTTGGATAAATTCTTTCACTTTGACTTTTGATGGTCAATTAGAAGATAATAATTGTTCCAAAAGTTTGGGCCATTTGCGAGCAGATTACAACAAACAGAAAAGTGAGTTCATACCCACTAGTTTGAAGGAAACAGCTTCTGTGATTCTAGGGATATAGGTTGACCCAGGATCTGGAAGCAGTTATAAGTATTCCTTAGTTGCTTGATTAACCAGACAGGTGACTAATCTGTGGTTTGTGGGGCTTATGGGATTGCGACATGTGTCCTATCCATTCAATTGCTGGTTCCAAACTGTACTATTTAGAGAGTGATTTATTAAACTGTTACATGTTCCCAAACTGAGAAGCCAAGAAAAACACATATTGGCCTTCTTATATGTGGTCTGGTTCTCTAACAACGTCTCTCTGATCATCCAGGAGCTATTGAAACCCTTTTTTTAACCTTATCAAATAGTGTTCTTGAGCATGTTGGCAACCAGTCTTTGAACTTGATGTTATGAATAGCACTGGCAGAAAGTTACATGCTGAAGCTTTTTGAATTCCAGCAATTTCCTTCTTTAATCTATATTCCAATTCCTTTCAGACGGCTTTTCTCCTACTTTTTTCCTTTTTCTTTTTACTTTTTTCCCCCTTTGTGAAAACAGCAGAAATTAAATATAGATTCCAATTTTATCATAGCCAGGAGTTCTGCTTGTAAGGTTGAGGAAACTAGATCATGTTGGTTGTTCATACCTTAAGCTGACCTGGCTTTGTTATAACTTGTACCATGAAACCAAATCAGTTAATTAAAAAGAGATTATTAACGTTGAAATGAGCTAGGATCTCCTCATGGAACGGAATCCCATGGAGTCAGGATGTAATAGAAGTTGTGTTGGGTAAGTTTCCGTTATTGATCAAGACAGGGTGCAGCATCGCAGAGCAAGGTAGGCTTGTCCTCGATGGACAATCAACTTTACTCATCTCTGCAATATGTTGCACTTTTTCCCCAGAAAATATTTGATTTTGTGATCTATTGCTTTTACAATAGGTGAGGACGTCCATTGGTGTTGTCCATTTTAGATGGGTTTGGAATTTTTGAAGAATCAATCATTCAATTGTTACTACACAGAGCTGAAGGCTTTGGAGTTCCTCAGTGGCTGCATTTTTTGTTATTATATGGATTCTTGTAGATCTACTTGTTGTGATGAAACCATCTCTTGGAGTTTTGCTGATTGGAGCTGTTCAAGCTTAGTTGAGCTGTGTGGTTGCTGATTTCAATTGGTCTGCCGCAGTAGGCGAGAAAGCAACATTGTCGTGGATGTTAGCCTACTTGGATGGGAGACTTGATATGCCATTATTACTTTTTAGAAATCTAGCTTAACTTGTTCCTAATTGCAGGTACTTTAGGCTCGGAACAAGCGGCTAGATATCTTAACAGTTGCTCAAAAACACTAAATGGCAGACACTGTGGTCAATCATCCTGGGGGACAAAACTTGGATCCTAAATACCAAGATCTGACCAGGGGAGAACAAAACATGGAAGCAGCCAATTCACACTGTCAGAATTTACATGGAGATTGTATGCCTATCGAAAAATCAAAATCAACTGCAAAAAGCACGAGTGTGGAAATGCTGGACAAAGGATACTTGCAGTACGGGTATGTTTCTTGGCTAACTTTCAATTTTTCTTCATTTGAATTTTCTTGGAAGCTTTTCTGGTGATGTTATGTTGTTCCTTTGACAGGTGTGCACATTATCGTAGAAGATGCTGCATTAGAGCTCCTTGCTGCAATGAGGTTTTTGACTGCCGTCATTGTCACAATGAAGCAAAGGTTAGTCTATATTTAGTTGCAATTATGAATTTATCTTATTTGTTCGTGTGCTTTTTATTTCTTAGAAGATAGTTTACCGTATCCAAGCTTGCAGGAGAGTGGTGTTTATGGAGATAGGAAGTGATATTATGGCTCAAATAATCAATGAAGAATACAAATATATGTGCACTATGAAGTATGAATGGAATAAAAAATAAAAAAAAAAAAGAGAAAAGAAACTGTATGATATATCAGAAATAGTGGAACTTAGCTAGACCCTGAAAACATTCAGTAAGTGTATAAAGAGTCAATTGACCACATATTCATATTTCCCCAACCAGGGCCAACTCTCAGAAAGAGAAGCTGCACCAATATAAGGAAATTCGTGTAAAATAAACTGAATTTTTTGTTCGTCTATGATGGTTGGAAATGGGTCCCAATAGTAATTATATATGGTTAGGTTGCATGCGAAACATCTGGTGCTTTATTCTGTAATTTCAATCTTCATGTTATTTCTGAGAGCAACTGGATTTTCTTGGATTCTTAATGCATTTATTACTAATTTGCAGAATAATATCAAAGTTGATCAGAAGTGTAGACATGAAATTCCCCGACATAGAGTCCAGCAGGTAGACTTTTGTTGCTTGTTCAGATTTCCGATCATTTGGTTCACAGCTGCTCCATTGTTGCGTTTCCTTTTCCTTTTTTGTGTTTGTTTTTCTATCCTAAACTAATAACTATGTCTTGCTTTCTCTTTACAGGTTGTATGTTCACAATGTAACACTGAACAAGAGGTGAGCACTGATTGGCTTTGTCTTGCATTTTGTCTTTACTGAGAAGACTGACTATTGAAGTAGGGGTATCACTTGATTTGTTAGTCTGTTGTTTAACTGGTTAAAATAGAGGAAGATGCTTTGAATCAAAAACTCAATTTTTTTTACTGGTATAGGAAAGGATGAAGTGTTCCTGTTTTCAGTTTTTGCTTATATGCAAATCTGAGTGTGTTCTGTTTTATTGTGGCTCGTTTTGTGATCAGGTTCGCCAAGTCTGTATCAACTGTGGCGTGTGTATGGGAAGATATTTCTGCGAGACTTGCAAGCTGTTTGATGATGATGTGAGTGGACATTTTTATATCCTATGCACAACCGCTTTTGTCTTTATATAGGAAAGGCTTCTAGAGAACTCTTAGGCTGGGAGCTGTAGTGGCACCTTTGTCCCATGCAGTGAATCTTTGGCTAAAATGGATGGTTATTAGCACATCGTAAAAATAATTTTTTACTACAGATAACTCTTCTAATATCTTTATTGCTGAATTATTGATGCTTGCACAATTTCATCTTTTGAGTACTTAACTAACCATTTGTATTGCCACTTCTCAGACATCAAAGAATCAATATCACTGTGATGGTTGCGGAATATGCAGGTAAAGGATAACTCCCCTCAATTTAAAAATGTTTTGACATTATTATTTTGATATTTGGTATTAAGGATCTTCTAGTGAGAATCATATCAATAGCGTGAAGAATGGCGAAGATGACAGTAAAGCTTTAGGATATTTGTAGACATTTTTAGAAGTTGCATTGCCATGGCACTTGCGGAAAAGGAATTATCCGAGTTGTCAATTTAACAAGAGTAATCAATTTAACAAGAATGGGAAATCTTATTGTTATTGTTACAGAGCTTTCATTGTTACTTAATGAATCTTTTGTTGCAGAATTGGTGGAAGGGAGAATTTCTTCCATTGTGATAAATGCAGTAAGTCACAATTTCGAACCGCTCTATAGAAATCTAGACTTGATGATGTATTATCTTGAGCTAATTGTACTGTGGGTATTCCATCCAGGATGCTGCTACTCTATTCTATTAAAGAATAGCCACCCATGCGTGGAAGGAGCAATGCACCATGATTGCCCCGTCTGCTTTGAGGTATATGGCATTGTCAATGTTGCTTTTACCTTACTCTTTACGATTCATAAACATGTGGTAACAAAGGTGGTGGTTGCTTCAGTATCTGTTTGAGTCGAGAAATGACGTGACTGTTATGCCTTGTGGACATACTATTCATAAGAGCTGCTTGAAAGAGATGCAGGAGCATTACCAGTGAGTGTCCGAGTAAATTGATTTCCTTCTTTACGTTTTGCATAGGAACGCCACAAAAAATTATATTGATCTACTTGTTTATTCTATAGGTATGCTTGTCCTCTTTGCTCCAAGTCAGTATGTGATATGTCCAAGGTATGGGAGAGATTTGATATGGAGATAGCAGCTACGCTCATGCCTGAACCTTACCAAAATATGAGGGTTAGTCTCTCTCTCTCTCTCTCTCTCTATCTCTCACACACACATACAGCACACACAAAAGTTGGTGGTAAATTTGGAAACCAGATTTGTTAAAGAATAAAGAATAGTTTAAGAGATTATTACCCCCCCTAAAAAAAAGAGGAGAGAACTAAAGACGTTCTTAATGTTAAATATTCTGGAATTTGTAAAACTGTGTAAAGCTGAACCATTTCTATCTTAATGGGTTTTCAAACATTAACCAACATATAACGATCTGGCTGATACTAACGTGCATAGCTAATATGTTGCAGGTCTGGATTCTGTGCAATGACTGCGAAACGACATCAGAAGTGCCGTTTCATGTAGTAGCTCAGAAGTGCCCCCGCTGCAAGTCTTACAACACTCGTCGCACTAGAGGAAGATAAAACTGGAGTTGGCTACTACTGGAAAGAACTAGGTACAGTTGCGTCCGTGTTGGAAATGCAACAGATCGTGTTGGGAAGGGTACTGATCCTACCTGTATCTGATCCTCGTTGTGAAAGAGGGGAAGACGGATGGATCCATTGAAGGGCAAATGCGGTCGCTTGGCTCGAGCGGATTTTCAAATAATTAGGAATTTTTATTTACTTGGACAAATGTTCTTGGTGACTTTTAGGGTCCTCCCCAACATATCTTGAAAGCTTTGGGCATGTCATGTAAATTTTCGAAGTTTATTATCGGGGGCAATGAAATTTCTAGAGTTGATTGGATATTTGGCAGTTATTTACACAAAATTAATTAATTAAAATGTAAAGTGGGATTTGATATATCTTCGATCATTGATTGACATTGAAACACTGACACGTTTGAAAACCAAAATTGCAATCCTCGGGAGTGAAAAGGCTGTACGGGTGCTTTTGAACTGGAAAATTTATTGGTGGTGTTTTGTCTTTATTGAGTTTAGGAATTTTTACGCGTATGTGTTGACGCGTTTTTTTTGTTTTTTGGTTTTTTTGGGTCGAAGTGTGATGATTTTTAACTAATATGGGATAAACTCAATATATAGAGCATATGCGTACGGATAACGAGATAAATATTTTATTTTTAGTCAATTGAAAAGTATATGATAAATATGAAATTTAAATGATAATTTCTAACATTTTGGTCTCTCGTAAACTTTCAGACTGGTGTAAAAATTGAAAAGATGTACTTGATTACGTTTTAAAAATTCATTTAAGGATTTCTATGTAGTTTCTGACAGTGATCATGTCTTAAAAATTTCTATACAATTTCTAATGTGAAAATATTTTAACTTGTTTTAAGATTTTTCAAATAAGATGTAGAAGTATATTTTGAAAGAACAAGTATTTCTGTTGTGCACAATTCATTTTCTAATCAAATTTTCAATTTTAACAGTAAAATGGACCATCATATTCAAGTATGTACATGATATTTTAATATAACATTACATTATTATTTTTTATGGTACATGCATTAATTTAGCAAGTAAAATTTTCCTTTTTCTTTTTTCCAGTAAAAACTCACAAAGAGAGATATTTTCAGGAAAGAAATGAATGACTATAACAGTCTAACAAACGTTTATTTCCTTGGGATTCTCAATTTCATGTCATCATGATTTGCTTCGAATTTGTGGAATAGTTGTTATTGATCAGTGCTTTTAACATTCAGCTAAACTTTTTTTTTTTTTAAAAAAGCACTTCTTTGTTATTTAAATTTATTTAAAGAGAGTTAGCTCTATTTTAATTATAAAAAAATATTTTTTATTAACAATTAATTAATAAATTTATTAAAAAAATGTGAAAGTAACATATTTTTACATATTTAATTATTCATTTGATTAAAAATAAAAATGCTATTTGCTGCTCTTCAAAATTATTTTTTTAATTTTTTTTTAATTATTTAATTTCATTATTATTTAATTTTTACTAATTTTTATTTTAATTTTTCATTAAATTGATAACTAAAATATGTAAAATTGTGTTATTCTCATGTCTTTTTAATAAAAATGTTAAACAACTGTTAGTTAACAGTTAATCAAATAAGAAAATTATTTTTTATGATGAGAATGGGGTTACGTGTCATTTAAATAAATTTGGACAAATATGAGTAATTTTTTGTCACAACTCGAAATGAAACTTATGATTGGCGCCAAAATTAGAATAAATTCTAACCCTACAAACCTAGCAGATAACTTAGAATTAATTAAACCAAAATCTTACATATAATCAAAAAAAAATTAAAATCAACTATAAACTGAACTGTCAACACATAATAGAAATTTGTCTATAGTTAAATGAAGCTATCTAAGAATTTAAGAATACAAAAACCAACAGAAAAATGAAATAACTAACTTCTCTGATCAAAAGTAAAAGGAAAGCAGAAATAACGAACACCTTTCAGGTAGTAAGATCCGACAAACTAACGAATTCTGAATTTGAAAAAATATAAGGGTGAGTTTACAAATTCAGTGAATAATAATATATGCATTTATGAGAATAAGACATAGGTACACAGATATAATAAATAACTTACAGAAAATAGAATTTAATAAACATTCATAATTTATAGAATTCATAATTTAGAACGTAACAAAAATAAAAAACTGGAACAACAACAATTAGTCTGCCGAAAACAACAACACTTAGTTTGTCAGAAATCGAAAAAGCAATACCTTAGTCTATCGGTGTATATATATATATATATATATAAGTCAGGGTATTCAGTCTAATCCCTACCATTGTTAGTTACAGTGTTCTAAAAAACAAAACTTTCTTAAAATAATTTTCTAGAAATTAACAATAAAAGTTTAATAGAATTGTTTCATTCATAGTTATAAACAAAATTGAATGCAAATGTCACACCCCAATCCGGGAGCGCGACCGGCACTAGGATTGGCGTACCAACCCTAGTAAGCCTTCGACTAAAACGAATCAGATAAATTATCTCATCGGAAAACTCTCAATATAAATAATAAAATATGTCTAACTGAACATGGAGCGTCTAAAGTATAAAAAGCAAATATACAGAAAGTGCCCATACAATCAAGTCAGTGCAGCAGTGACGGAACTGTCGCCAAAGCTACCATTGTCGATCAGAACCGAAATTTGGAATGTGGGGAAAAAAAAGATGAGTATATAATTTAGTGAATAACAGTACTATCTAGACATGTTAGGACAAAAATCGTAACCATTCATGACTCAAGTATCATCTCCAAGTAATAACACAGTTTACAAAAGTCACATTTGTCTCAAATAACACATGTATTTTTATATATGTATAGTCAAAATAAAAATCAGAAATTTGTTAGAGTGTCAAAACGTATCACATATTAGAACCAGAGCCCATATGTGGACCTAGGGCACTTTCCGCACGCTATGACGATCTACCGTCCGTCGGCTGAGTCCTTAGCACTCCGTATCAGAACTAAAATCACATAAAACTCCTGACAAATTAACTTTTAAAACATACGTATTACTGAGGCAGATATGTAATTAATTTCATAAATAAATTCAAGCTTATTGTACTTTAAAACAGATAGATTCATGTCCCGGAAATAATACCATAGTTCAGAAATCAAAACACAAAAACTAATACAAAATTGGAATGCAAATACATGTACAGAGAGTACTGTCACACATCAGACACGTCAAAACGGATATCCAGAAACTTTGACAGATGACTCACGGACCAAGATGCACCTCCTCAGATGTATCTACAATTGCCAAGACACAAGTTAGAATTGAAACTAAATTTACTCCAAAAGACTCACACATCAGGGGTGGCTCGAGACTTCTCTCGTGTCTGGGCTCTTGACACACATCCCGAGACACCACTAACCCACCTTATGATCCACATAACTCCGAACATTCATTAATTCTATCTAACCACCCTTGACAATAATGAACCGGACTCCAAAAACCCCTAAACCAATCTAAACCAATTTAAAACTACCCTAAGTCGAACTGAACCAATCATGAAACCCTCAAAATCAGACTCAAAAGGCCTAAAAATCTCAGAAACCACCCTGAACCGGCCAAGAACCCCACTCCTAAGTACCAGCACACTGAACCGAGCTCAGTTCACCTCGAACCAAACATCCAAATATCACCAAATTTCATGGCTAACTAGGTTTCATCATGTTGAACCAATAACTGGTTCAACCCCCCAAGAACTGGGCAAAAACCCTGTGAACTGGCCGCCCAAAGGTGGCCACACTAAACTAGCTGGTACACCCTGAACTGGTGACCCAAAACTTCCCAAAATCCCCAGGTTTGATAGCCCTCAGCTCCTTAAACCAGGAATCAGTCCATTCGCTCAAAGAATCGGCCTAAAAAGCCTTGAACTAGCCGGTCAACATGGGCCGGTTCACCCTGCCAGAAACCCTAACCTTTATTTTTTTTCTCACTGGATTGAGTCAACCCAATGAGTGGACTCAACCCAACCCAGCCCTTGCTTGGGCTGGCCTGCGGACCTACTACTCCTCTGGGCCGAGGGCAAGCACAACAAGCCAGGCCGGCCCTGTACAGGGACCCGAATCCATTCGGGTCCTATCTTCTCCACCCGAAAACTTGGGTCACAAACCCGAGCTTCTGCAATAGACCTGAACACCCTTTACCCTAGAAAACTGGAATTTTAGCTTACCTAACCAAAATCAAAGCTCATGACGTAGAATTCCGGAACCCCTGGAGTGATTTCCATGCTTTAATGGGATTAGATTTGCCTGAAATCTCGATTTTTCCCCAAAAAATTATGTCTCTTGTCGCAACTCCAACTCCAATTCCCTCTCTCTCTCTCACTCCAACTCTCAAATTACACACACACACACTAACTCGTCTCTCCCTTTAGCACAAATACCCAAAACCTGGTAAGCTGCCATGCTCCTATTGGAGCGAATTCTTATTTAAGGACCTTCGGTCGGCTTCCAACAGAAGGTCTCTCCCTGTCTCCATCTAGCCCCAGTTAGTTTTATTCTTCTCAATTAACACCTATTGGTTTCCAAAATAGCCCTAATCCATCAAAATTCCATAAATTACATAATAATTAGATAAAAAATTAATCTAGGGCCATTACAGTAAATAACAAATAATTTTTCTAAAACAATTTCAAAAATAACATACATGTCCCTTGTTAAGCATTTATAACAAATTTAATTCAATTCCCAAAAATTAAAGTATATTAGGTAAAAATTAAAATTTATAACATATATGAAAAACAATAAATGCTCATAAATACACATTATTATTCACACAATCGACAGAAATCAAGAAATCTAATCCTTATTGACACGGGTTCGATAAGAACCGTATGAATAATCTAAACTATAGAAATAACAAAATATCTTATTTTAGGTGTCTAATGCATCTAAAAATTGAATAAATACAATTTTTTAATTAAACACCCAAATAAAATTCTAGATTTTCATGCT